CAGCACTAATATATTAATATATATATATAATGTCTGAATAATTTTTGGTCCCAAATTTGTATCAAATTTACTGGTAGTCCACTGTATGAAGAATTTTTTGGGTATGATTTGTCACAGTTTACTTTATTTTGCTATCCTCACTTACATAAATGAACTATAGTGTCCTGCACCCACTAGTAAAAAAATATCAAAAATTATACCTGGTCTCTGAATAATTTTTGGTTTGACTGTATATCCTTCGGTTATTTTCACACTTAATTATGCCCATTAAAATGTATTTTACAAGATTTTGTTACTTTCACTGTTCATTTTTTGCTCTATGGTACATCATCTTTAATTTAATAGCATTAGAGCTGCTCCATTGCAGCGGCTTAGTACTGTAATCACGCGATTTATATAATGTCATTTAAAGCTTTTTTTTTTTAATTGGTCAAAATAACAAATGTTTTCATTTGTTGTGAGTGAAAATCAGGGTTATTCCACCAAATATTGATTTCTGAACTCTTCTGAAGTTCAAAGATTGGCATTGTGTGGTCTAAAAATGAATTTAAACATAATTTTGACCAATTGTCATTTCATGCTCTAAATGACAAAATTTGTATTTAAAATTTGGAAGAAATGTCGTCAGTAGTTTACAGAATAAAACAAACATTTTTTTACTCAAAGACTCATAAATCCAGAGAAACTGAGAATTTTCAAGCGGTCTCTTAATGTTTTTTTCTTCTCTAGTAATCAATGGCAGTTCATTTCCACAAATTGTGCCAAATTTCTTTCATCCTAACTGTGATTGAATGATATTCCAGACCAGCATTTTCATCTGGACTTGACTCTGACTGACTGCTGTGAATCTGAGTTCAGAAAACAGCTTTTACACTGGGTTTGCACCAAAAGCTCTAGTGTGAACTAGTGCTGGGTGGTATGACCACAAATTTATATCACGGTATTTTCCGAAATTATACCGGTTTCACGGTATATGACGGTATTTTTTTTTTCATGCATGACCGGGTGTTAACCATATTTTCTACTGATTGAGAGGAAATACTGCAGTATATTGACTTAGAATGCCCTATTTTACTGTCATGATGAGTGAATATTGTCAAAAAATACCACACTAAATAGTGGCATTCCCAACGTTGTTTAAGTGTCATACACCGGTATTGCGGTATTTAAAAAAATTCATATCATAACAAAAATAAACACCGGTATTCGGTATGAACCGGTATACCGCCCAGCACTAGTGTGAACACACGCATGGGCTGCTGGAGGTGTGATGGAGGAAGACAACAGGCTGGTTTGGGAGAGAAGGGAAAGACGGATGGATTGAGAGGAAGTGCAGGAGGAAGAGGAGGAGCGTCTCACCAGGCCTCAACCGGCTCTCTGCCGCTGCAGCAGAACGAGAGAGAGACCACAGTCACACTCAGACTCATTCAGCAGCTGCTGAACTCAAATAGAACCTCATATTAAATCTAATATCGTTTTTTATGAATATATATATATCATATGAAAGAAGTTCAAAAGTTGTTGTTGTTGAAGAAAACGGGGAAAAAATTACAAATTAAAAATATAATTTGCGGGTATTATAATTTTTTTTTGCATTTTAATTCATATATATTTAATACATATTTGTTTTAGAATATGGGGGGGGGGGATTAAAGTAACAAATTATTTTTAATTTTTAATTACATTTTTTAGCATTTTAATTTATTTAGATATTTTTAATACATACGATTTTAATTATTAAATTAAATCATATTAGATATATTGAAATATATTTTTATGTGAATATAATATATTAAATGAATCAACCACAGTTCATTTTGTGACTCCAGAAGTTCAAGAACTCTGTTCTTCAATAAAAACAAAAGTTGTTGGGGAGGAAAAAATTAAAGTAGAAATATTATTGAAGTTAGTTTTTTTAATTACTTTAGCATTTTAATTCAGTTAAGATTATTTGAATAGATAAAACTTTAATAAATAAATGATTAAATGGAATCATTAATTATATTCAAATTAATACATTTTATGAATATATCTTAATATATTCAATTAATAAACCACAGTTTATTTTGTGACTCCAGAAGTTCAAGAACTCGATGTTCTTCAATAAAGACAAAAGTTGTTGATGGGAAAATTTTAAGTCGAAATATCATTGCAGTTTGTTTTTTCATTACATTTTTTAGCATTTTAATTTAGATTATTTTAATTAATAAAACCTTTAAAATAATTAAATTAAATAGTGCTCATGTGAAGTGCACAAGACTCGATTTACAACTAAAATGACTCTAAACTCCTTTTAAGTGTGAACTGTTGCTTAACCCGAGGTTTACAAGACGTTAAGTACAGAGTGAAGATACTAAAGGAATATTCCGGGTTCAGTACAAAGTTCAGCTCAATTGACAGCTTTTGTGCCATAATGTCGATTACTACAAAAATCAATAAATGTGTCCCTTGTTTACTTAAAAAAAAGGCACAATTGAGAATACAGCGAAGCACTTACAAATGAAGGTGAATGAGGCAGATTTAAAGCAGAACTGTGAAGCAGTACATTAACTCTACTGGTAAAAAACTATTATTTGAGCTGTAAAGCATATTGTTTATGTCCTGCAGCTGTACTAGTGAGTATTTTAGTGTTTAACAAATGCTGTGGATTAATGTGCACTGTGTGTTTTAGGATCAGTAGCGGGTGAGATTCAGGACAGAGGAGGGTAACGACACACACACACTGATCACCTGCAGTGATGCTTCCTCGCCGCCAGCCAGAACGTCCTCTCGCACCCGTAGCAGCGGGACGCCGCGTGATCCGAGAACCACTGCATCACATGACCACAAACACAACAAGCATTAGAAACATTAACCACATGAAGTCACGTTCACACTGCGGCCAAATACGGAGTCACTCCTCTTCTGAACTGAATCTGGTCTCATGCAGAGTTGAGGATTTTACACATCTGTGTCGTGAAGGCAGAACGCAGCTGAAGCACATCGTCTGATCTGCTCACCTCTGCGTCCTGTTGTTCGATCTGTTCCCAGCTGGACTCGGACAGGAGATCGGTGTTCCCGCAGCGCTGCAAACAGCTCGACTCCACGTTATTCTCTCCGTCCGGCAGAGACGTCTGCGGCACACAGGAACAGGAAGTCAGATTTACAGCTGACAACGTCAACAGCGTTAATGAGATTAAAGGTCCGTTCACACCACTAACTATAACGAGAAGTATAACGTTACCCATAACTAAAATAATATCCATAACAATAATTATAATAATAACTATAACTAACTATAATGTTAACCATAACTAAAATAATATCCATAACAATAATTATAATAATAACTATAACTAACTATAATGTTAACCATAACTAAAATAATATCCATAACAATAATTATAATAATAACTATAACTAACTATAATGTTAACCATAGCTAAAATATCTATAACAATAATTACTAACTATAACAGTAACTATAATGTTAACCATAACTAAAATAATATCCATAACAATAATTATAATAATAACTACAACTATGTTAACCATAACTAAAATATATTTAACAATAATTACTAACTATAACAGTAACTATAATGTTAACCATAACTAAAATAATATCCATAACAATAATTATAATAATAACTACAACTATGTTAACCATAACAATAATTACTAACTATAACGGTAACTATAATGTTAACCATAACTAAAATAATATCCATAACAATAATTATAATAATAACTACAACTATGTTAACCATAACAATAATTACTAACTATAACGGTAACTATAACCGTTATAACGTTAACCGTAACTAATATAATATCCATAACAATAATTATAATAATAACTAGCCATGTTAACCATAGCTAAAATATCTATAACAATAATTACTAACTATAATGATAACTATATCGTTAACCGTACTAAAATAATATTTATAATAATAACTACAAACTAACGATAACTATAACATTAACCGTAACTAAAATAATATCTATAACAATAATTACTAACTATAACGATAACTATACCGTTATTAACCATAACCAAAATATCTAATAACAATATTTATAATAATAACTATAACTATAATGCTAAATAATATCTATAACAATAATTGTAATAATAACTAACTATGTTAACTATAAAATAATAATAATTATAATAACTATAACATTAACTATAATGCTAACTATTCAAATAATGTCTATAACAATAATTATAATGATAGCTACAACTATAATGATAACAAAAAAGACTAACTATAAAGAGATCAATAACAATAACTTTGATAATAAGTATGACTATAATGATAACTATAACTATAATTATAAATATAATGATAACTATAACAATATTTGTAACTCTAACAATAGCAATAACATAACGATAACAATAACTATAGAGCTAACTATAATAACTATAACAATTTCTATATCGATAAATATAAAAATAACAATAACGATAAATATAATAATATCTTTAACGATAACTGTAGCCATAAATATAATAATGACTATAAAGATAGCAGTAACTAACGATAACTATAATGATAACACTAATGATATCTATAACAATAAATGTGATAATAACTATAGCGCTAACTGTATCTGATCTATAACAATAACTACAAAGATATCTATGAAGATAACTATAATGATAGCTAAAACAATAACTATAATATCTATAATGATAATATCCACAACTGCACTGATAACTATAATAACTATAATGGTGACCATACCAATAGCGATAACTATATTGGATGATAACATTCTGTTTATTCTAAGCACGCACTGCAGTTTTGTCGTCTCGCCGCTTTAAATACTCGAGCTTCTGATTGGCTGTCAATGTTTTCATCATTCATCAGCAGTGTTGGGGAAAGTTACTTTTAAAAGTAATGCATTAAGTTGTAGTCTCTGTCAGAGCTTGAACGATTATTATTACGACGGTTATAGTTATCGTCCTTGGTGTGAACAGACCTTAATGAAATTGTAAATTAAGTTATTTACGGAGCGTAAGGCGTGTAAGCGTCTCCCGCTGCGTCCTGATTGGCCGACGGAAAAAGAGGACGAACGGGATGCTGTGAAGGTGAGCAGACGCCGTTAAGAGTCTGAGTTGTGTGGTTTGGACTGGAAGAACTTTCCATGGAGGATTGGCTGCTAGATTCTGAAGGATCATGGGAGATTTTATAAGGTGCGTCATTGTCGGTGTTTGGTGTTAATTCACTGTTTTCATTGGTGGGCAAAGGATGCTGGGATGCAGTCAGGCGTTTTTCTTCAAGCTCAAACGTTTGGTCCTCACTGTTACTGGCATTCAGAGCTGATTCCAATGAGATACTGAAGGCAGGCGTGTTATTTAGAAGATCCAGCATCCTGTCGTCGTCTTCTCTCACTTCCTGTTCGTGTTTACATGCACTAGAATGTTCCAATATTCATTTCTTACATAAATATTTCACGTAAGCATTTTACGTTGGCATTTCTGTAGCTCGAACAGTAGAACGTGTGACTAGCAACGGAAAAGTCAAGGGTTGGATTTCCAGGAAATGCAAACCTTAGATCTGGGTTATTATAGTCAACTAAACCTAAAACAGAAAATAAAATCATTTTTGTTATGTGAAATTAAATTTTACTGAAATCAGTATTTCTCATTTTCATTTAGTTGGTAACACTTTACAATAAGGTTCAATTAGTTAATGTATTAACTAACATGAATGAATAATGAACAATACATTTATTACTCTATTTATTTAGTTTAACTTGATTAGTACTAAAATGACTCAAATTAAAAACCATATAGACATAAAGCAACAATACAAAACAATAAAAACACATCAAAATTACTAAAACTACAACTAATATTAAAACGAAAACAAAATATAAAAACTACGGCTGTCAAGCGATTAAAATTTGTAATCTTATTAATTACATTATGTGCCGATTAATTAATCAAATTAATCGAACATCAGTTTTGACTGAGAAAAAATTATGAGAAAAACACTGAATATACATTACAAAAATAGCTTCAGAGAGAAATATTTTGATTCAACATTGCATAAATGATAATGGGTATTAATTGAGTAAAAAAAAAAATGTATACTGAAATATGTATATCTCAGTGATTACCTTAAATGTAATTTTACGTTGTTTTGAATAAAAGAGTTTTTAATGCATAAATGTTCATATTTAGTATGCATCATGTGACCGCATTAACCTGATGCATGTAAACATGGTTCATAAATGAGTTTGGAAAAAGGAACTGCAGCACACAGAAGCACATACGTCACGTCTCGTTTACCTGCTCACAGGTGTGTCCTCGGGCGAGGCTGAGGGGGCGGAGTCTGGCACACATGACTCGTCTGAAGGCGTGGAGGGGGCGGAGTTTGGCAGGTAGACGGCACTCCATAGCATCAGATTCCTCACGTGACACACCGGGTGCAAAACCTGATGGAGATGGAGAGATTCAGGCTGCGTCTCAAAACCTAGTGAGCTGCCTAGATAGAATTTAGAGCAGGCACTACAATTGAAAAAAAAAAAAAAATTTCATGTTTTTTTTGGGGAAAAGTCACTTCTGCTCACCAAGGCTACATTTGCAAAATATTATTAGAATAAAAAAAGCTGTTTTCTATGTGAATCTCTGTTAAAGTGTAATGTATTTCTGTGATGCGCAGCTGTATTTTCAGCATCATTACTCCAGTCTTCAGTGTCACATGATCTTCAGAAATCATTCTAATATGCTGATCAAGAAACATGATTATTATCATCAGTGCTGAAAATGCATGTGCTGCAGTGTTATTTTACAAGCATTAAGAGACTATTACAGTTTTTATTCCTTTTTTGAATCAGTTTTTCTTTTTATATTTTCATTTTAATTGTAGTTAAAGTTTTAGTAATTTTGTTGTGTGTTTTTGTCATTTTTAGTAGTTTTGGGGTTTTTCATATATAGTTTTTATTAATTTTATTTCAGTTTTAATTATTTGGCAACTAGTTGAAATAATTTTTTTTAACAAATTAACGTTTATTTTATTTCAAGTAACACATTTTTTTTATTTTAGATAACTATAATAACCGTGTTTTGAATTAGTTTTTCTGTTTTTATTTGAATTTTTAGTAAAAGTGGTAATTATGTTTTGGCCATTTTTATTTAGTTTTCTATTTATTTTTCATTTTATTTTATATATATATATATATATTCAAGTTTATTTTAAGTCAAGTAACTAAAGATTTTTATGGTTTAAGTTAATTATAATAACCCAGGCTGTAATATACTTGATCACACAGAAGAGCAGACATGATTTCAGATGTTATGTGTGTGCGGTACCGTCTCGGAGCGCGGCGAGTATAGGATGTTGTGGAAGGACGTGTTGGCGGGTCGCAGCAGAGACCAAACGGAGCACGTCTTCTCCTGAACGCGCTGCTCCTCGCGCTCCTTCACGCTGTTACACAGGAACGTCCCAAACAGACACGAGTACGTGTGCTGCACTAACTTCACCTGCAGTAACAAACACAGCCGCTGTCATGATATATGAGTTTTCAATAAATCTGTCATGAAAACAAGTTTTTATTACAGCCACCATTTAAATGTTTATATTTTCAACAACAAATTGGAGTAGAAACAGAATTATATAATTAAAAAGTCACCTTAAATGCAATTCAATGTCTATATGCAACTCCAACTTTTATTTGAGAACAGATTATTAAATAAATGTTACTAATTAATTAATTATTAAATAAGGCTGTCAAGCAATTAAAATTTTTAATCTAATTAATTACATGATGTGACGATTAATTAAATTAATCACAAATTAACCACACATCAATGTTTTTTTTAAACTGAATATTGAAAATAAATATTGAAATAATAAAAAAAATAAAAAAAAACATGAAATATACTCTAAATATGAAACTAAAATCTGCCTGTGAGTCACTGTCTTGATGAATGAGTCATTTAATCATTCATTCAACTGATTTGTTTAAACGGCTGATTTATTCAGAAATGAAGGAAGTGAGTGTCTTTATGAATGAGTCACTGAATCATCGACTCACTTGATTTGTTTAAAAATGCTGATTCATTCAGAAATGATGCAAGTGACTGTCTTTATGAATGAGTCACTGAATGAGTGACTCACTAGATTTGTTCAAAACCGTGGATTCACTCAGTAACGAATCACTGACGCATAACAGTTCTTGCTGTGTCTTTGAACTAGTTTTGTTTGTGAAACTGAGCAAAACAGACAATATTGACAATATTGTGTCTAAAAGGTAACACAATATTAACTTATTTACTGAACTATTAAATCAATATCACATTTGTAATGGTGCAGATTTAGGGGGAAAACGGCACTCTCACTGGTTAATCATTCATTCAACCGATTTGTTTAAACGGCTGATTTATTCAGAAATGAAGGAAGTGACTGTCTTTATGAATGAGTCACTGAATCATCGACTCACTTGATTTGTTCAAACTGCTGATTCATTCAGAAATGATGCAAGTGACTGTCTTTATGAATGAGTCACTGAATGAGTGACTCACTAGATTTGTTCAAAACCGTGGATTCACTCAGTAACGAATCACTGACGCATAACAGTTCTTGCTGTGTCTTTGAACTAGTTTTGTTTGTGAAACTGAGCAAAACAGACAATATTGACAATATTGTGTCTAAAAGGTAACACAATATTAACTTATTTACTGAACTATTAAATCAATATCACATTTGTAATGGTGCAGATTTAGGGGGAAAACGGCACTCTCACTGGTGTGGCATTGCTCATTTTAACACGTTATATTTTACATAATAAATTGCACCAAATTAACACGCTATATTGACAGCCCTATTATTAAATAAAAAATTTTTTTTGGTGTTTCGGTAAAAAAAAAAAACATTTTGTTGCATTACTAGAAAACATATAGCCTATGTTCATATTCATTCCATAAAATTAAATGGATATTGAATATGAACAAGCACTGATCAAAATAATGACACTGAGTACCAGAAAGGCTTCGTTGAACTCGAAGGAGCATGGGAACTGTCTCTGGAGCTGGTGAACGCAGTCGAGCCACTGCAGGAACACGGGACAGCGCTCGTTCAGATCGCACGCGTTCTCGCCGTGACCGCAGCGGTCGGCGAACTTATGACCGTAATCCAACCACTCGGCCTCTACCAGCACCTGAAAACCCTGCCGAGACGAAATACAACAACAATTTACTGATTATGACTCCTTATTCTTTCAAATCTAAAAGTAAAGGCTCAGAAGTCCAGTGCATTTGATTTAAACTTTAATAGCAAAAAGAGTTAGTAGTTAGAGCTGCTAAACAGCAGAGGTTGCGACCCAGTACTGGGCCGTGGAAGAGCTGCTACCGGGTCGCAAGAACGTTTTGGGAAAAATATGACATTTATTGTGCATTTTGCCCTTTGAGAGCCACTATCTAAATTTACATACAACATGATTTCAGAAAACATTGTTTCCACACTTGCAACTGATTATCGGCGTCGATATTAAGCTTTTTATGGTAATCGGTATCGGTCATTTTCAAAACCGATTTGCCGATTAAAATAATTTAATAGCATTTAAAGAAAGTTTTTGTCAGAGCCTTTGTTATTCTTAATTTTGACATTAATTTTCATTTTTACACCAGACATATATATCGGTTCAAAATATTGGTTATCGGTCTACTTGATCTGTAATAATCGTATCGTCATCGGCCCTGAAAAACACATATCAGTCGACTCCTAAAACATTTATGTTAACATCCCTAAGTCCCTATGTGGCATTTTTATTTAAATGTTTTAGTAAAGAAGATTTGTAGGTAAATATTGCCCTTTTTTATGATGTACTGTTATATTGGTGCATAAAAAAAGTAAATGATTAAATATGTTTTACTTTGTGCATTAAACTGTTTACCCTATAAAGCCATTTCAGAGAAAATACATACATTTACATTTCTGCAACTGGCAGACACTTTTATCTTACTTAAAGCGACTTGCATTGCATTCAATTTTCACATTTGGTCAGTTCATGCATTTCCTGGGAATCGCACCCATGACTTTGGTGTTGCTAGTGCACATATACGCTTAATGCTGCAAAAGGCTACTGAGATCTTTCTTAGCTATATTACCCAGTCAAACTTGGTGCAATCCCCGTTTAGTAAAAGTAAACCTTAAAAAACTATATTTCTCAGATCCTAAAGAGAGTGTATGTTTATTGTGTCCATAAATGCAGGAAGTGCTGACATATTAAACAGCAGTTTGCAGTCAGGTTACGCCTGAATGTGCACTAAAATTATACAACATTCCTGTAAATGATGTACGTTATTCTTCTAAGGAAGCGCTCAAAGGCACCACTGTGAGCATGACGTGATTGTGTGTGTGTGTGTGTGTGAGAGAGAGAGAGAGTGTGTGTGTGTG